TGGTGCGGGATCGGGCAGTGTTTCGTTCTGCTGTGCATGGGGTCGCTATGAGTCGGAAACGACTCGACGGCACTTAACAACAACAACAACATCACTACGGAAGTAGATTGCCCAACCTTCCTTCCAAGGAGTGGCGGCTGGGTTTGAACCGCCAGCCTTCTGGTTAGCAGTCAAGTGCCTTAGGCACTATGCTACCAGAGCTCCGCCCCCCCCCCAAGGGATTGGGGACTACAAATAAGGGACCTGGGCGAGGGCAAGGAGAAAGTGTAACTCCTGGTGAAATCTAAGGTGATCCCTGCACCTTGAAGGGGCTGGGAAGGGGACAGACAGGTGGGAACCCCTGAAGTGGGGAGAGCCTCTAAGAGAAAGGCAAGGATGACCCGCTGGACCTAAAAAGGCGCGGGGTACAAGGGTAGGAGTGGCGGTGAGAGGGACGACCCACCCGTGTACATAGAAGGGACCCCCGGTTGGAGGGCTTGAAAGCGTGGGAAAGGATGAAAGGACAAAGCTGGGGGTCAAGGGTCTCCCGGCAGGGAGGAAAACGGGGTGCAGGGAGACAGCTTAATGGAATCCTTGAGCCCCTGTAGGCTGCGGAGGCCCTGAAGGCCGAATCTGGAACTTTGATGGTCCAAGGCCTGCGGCGAATAGCGACAGGGAAGGGTAGGTCTTAAAACGCGGAGGGTATGGGGCAATGAGGCTCCCGGTGACTAACGAGGCCCACGAACGGGATGCCCATCTCAGCCCAGGCCTCCCTTGCCCCTTCAAGCTCCACTCGGCTCCTCTGGGTCCGGACTAGCTCTCCACAAAGACACCGGTGCCACCTTGAGCGGGCGCAGAAACGTGACACCTTTGAAAACCAGCGCACATCGACCATTAAAGCGCAAGAAGGCGCCAATCAGGGGGCGGAAAGGTTCTAGCCAATCAGAAAACGAGGGGGAGGCTCGCGCTCAGAAAGGCAGCCAATCAAAGAGCGAGGGTCTTAGCTTGTGGCCGCACGCTGCAAGGCCGGGACTTGGAAGCGACCCCGCCCCTCGGCAAAGGGGACGGACAGCGAGAACTCCGCAGCCAATCAGAGCTGGGCTACGTGCCAGAGCGTGGGCACGTACGAACGTATCACCGCCTGAGTTCCCTGGCGAATCGGAAACCTCGCTTCCTTAATATAGGAGTTGATTGGCCACCTTTCAAAATTTACCTGTCAATTTTGGACGCTGGGTTAAAGACACTTCCTTAGCGACACAAGATCCCGCCTCCTGTCTCCTAGTATCGGAGGATTGAGGGGAGTCTTAGATTAGTCCCTGGTTTCCAAGTGAGGTTGGACGCTCACTGATCGCAGAAAGAGGAAAACAATAACAGAGCAAAACTAGAACCAAGCCCTTACTCTGGAATTGAGCCGTGAGCGCTGTCTCGCGAAATAAATGGAGACTCGGAAAGCAGTTTGCTGAAGATCACACCCTTAAAAGTACTTAAATTGCAGTTGTTACTGAGTTGGTTCTGACGTGTCCACCCCGTGAGTGTAGGACTGCTCCATACGGTTTTAAGGACTGTGACCTTTTGGGAGCAAACTGCCCGGCCTGTCTCCCAGGGCACCGCTGCGTGGTTCTAACTGCCAACCTTAGAGCTTGTTGTTGTTGTTGTTGTTATGTGCCGTCGAGTCAAACCCGACTCATAGCGACCCCTCCTTGGGTTTCCGAGGCAGTATCACTACGGAAGTAGGATTGCCCAACCTTCCTTCCGAGGAGTGGCTGGTGGGTTTGAACCGCCAGCCGTCTGGTTAGCAGGCAAGCGTCTTAGCCACTATGCTACCAGAGCTCCCGAGCTAGCAGTCCAGCTTCTGACTGTTTGGGCCACCCCACGTCCAGTGGGTTTCGACTCCTAACAACCCTATGCAACAGAAGGAAACACTGCCCTGTCCTGTGCCATTCACATTGCTGTGTGGGAGCCCATAGTTGCAGCCAGTGTAGGGAAACCCTGTAGCACTTCTACTCTGTAGACCTGGCGTCGCCTTGAGTCTGAATCCACAACAGCAACAGGTTTCTTTTATTACTGTTAATGCATTGCCTGGACCCCTCCCAAAGCATGAGTGTTTCATGAACATACGGGTGCATCTATTGAGCCCATGGCTGGATCCTCAGTGGCCAGCCAGGTCCGTGGTGGGCACAGAGCAAATACAGCTTAAAGAAATGGACATAAGAATGACCGTTAGCCAAGGGACTGGCAGACCATGCGATCCTCAGCCTAGCTGACCATGAGACCGGCTACCACTGTCAACCACTGGGAAAGGGATCAGCGCAGGAGATCCTGGATAGAGTGGGAGAACAAGGTGGAATAAAACGCAAAATTATCTAAAAAAAAAAAAAAAAAAAAAAAAGACCAGGTTTGCTGGTCTGATAGAGCCTGGTGGAACCCCTGAGACTATGGCCCCTAGCTACGCTTCAGGCCTGGAACTGAACTCACTTCTGTGGCTTCCAGCCAAGCAACAGACAGGCACAGGGAGTGAATATTTCCATCAGGTAGATACACTCCTTGGAGCGCTCAATGGATCGATGGTGGGAACACGGAGGAAGTGGGCGCAGAGCTGTTACACTGTGGGGCACTGCAGTCGATGCTATGCAACGAAACGTGTCTGCACTGCTGTACGGAGAATGCATTTGCTCTGTAAACTCACCCAATCCCAATAAAAAAATTTTAGTAACAAAAGAATGACTATTAAGACTCAGAATAGACTCCACCTGCACACAAGAATGACGATCCCTGTCATTAAAACACTTCAAGTACCACTTACCGTAAATAGGTCTGGTTTACTGAGAGTACCTGGGGTCCGGCTTTTTGTGCCTCCTACGTCATACTGGACATCCTTTAAACCCCCAAGAATCTAGAAGGCGTGCAATATTTGCCCAAATTCTCAAATAGGGAAACTGAGGCAAGCGGCTAGAAGGGCCTAAGGGCACGAGAAAGTCCAGCCCCTAAAACTCCCAGCCCAGCTGCTATCCCCTCGGTCCTAGGGGGTGTCCAAATGTCCCGACGTCCCAGCTGAAATGTCTGTTTAACCCTCAAGAAGCAAGCTTTGGAGATGAACACTATCAGCCCCTACTGAGGGCGCGACCAGGAATAAAGACAGAACAAGACGCGGGGGGGGGGGGGCAGGGGGGGGAACACTGCCAAAAAAAAAAAAATGCATCGACCCGGGTCACCTGAGTTTTGTCTATTTCACTGCATATAAATTATATTTCAATTAAATGTATTTGGAAAAAAAAAAAAAAAGGAAGAGGGGTCCCGGGGTGGGGCTCCCGGGTCTGAGGGAGGAGGGGGCTGTGTCCAGGATCCCAGGGTCTCAGGCCACGGCTGGGGTCCCCGCCCCCCAACTCTGCGGGAGGCCCTGCACGCTCGCTGGCCAAGCCACGCCTGTTCCTGAGTCGCGCCCAAGTCCCGCCCACTTTCTTCGCGAACCCTCCCGGTCCTGGGCCCTGCGGAGATTAGAAGGTCCCAGAAGAGACTGCGGACGCCTCCCGAGACGATGGAAGAGCAGAAGGATGGGGCTGAGCCCGAGGGGTGAGCGAGAGAACGAATTCCCTGGAGAGGGGCAGAGCCCCAGAGAGAGGGCGACAGAGACCCCGAGAAGGAGGGCGAGGGAGACCCAGGCAGAGGGGTACAGACCCAGAGAGAGATTGAGGGGAGACGGAGTCCTTGAGGACCTCAGGATCTAGCTCAGCAGAGAGGAGCTAGATTGACAGAGACGGGGGTCGAGCTAGAAACACGTTGGTTCGCTGACACTGAGAAGGTTTGTCAACCAGGAGTAGCGCAGACGCCAGGCACGTGGTCAGCTGCCCTCGGGTGGGTCCCAACCCCTGACGGTCCCGTGGTGTCAGAGCACAACTGTGCTTCGCAGGGTTTTCAGTGGCTGATTGTTTGGAACTAGATTGCCAGGCCTTGACTCCGAGGCACCTTTGGGTGGACGTGGGTTGGCAGCCACGGGTGATAACTGTCTAGTGCCCAGGAACACCCAGGAACATCCATAGGACTGGAGAAACAATAGCAGTTGTCCACGTGTATTAAGTGCTGACCAGACAGTGCCTCTTAGCACAGCTGCATGTTTGAGCCTACCTAAAGCCATGTATGAATATAAAAAAGTAAGGTTCAGGGTGGGAGAATGCTGTTTCCAGTCACACGGTAAGTGAGGCAGCCTAGAACCTGAGCAGATTCCTTTCTGATACCGAAATCACGACAGCGGTGTCTGCCTCTCTGTGGAAAAGGAAAATAGGGAAAGGAGGAGGATATGGAGTGTGTGGCTCATTGTCTGCATGAACAACTGCCTCCTTGACCATGAACTGGACGGTTCCCAGCTATGACTTCTGAACATTTTGATCAAAGATTCTAGAGACAAATCATGATCAAAAGGGGGGAAAATGCAGAGCAGAATTTCACATCTTCATAGGCTCCAGATTTTTCTGGAGCCACTGAGGGCTGGATGAACCCCCTGAAACTATTATCCTGTGATAATCTTTAAACCTGAAACCAAAAAGATCCCCTGAAGTCTTCCAAACCAGAGAGTAGTTTAGCTTCACTAGTACAGAACGCCTGTCTTGAGCATTGCGCTGTTCTAAGATCACGCTCTGTGAGATCAAATGGACAACAGCAACTTGAAAGGTTAGAGGGGAACCGTAGGGGGCAGGGAGTTGATGTGAACAGGGTGAGGGTGGCTGCACAGCTCAAACAATGTCCCTGGTGTCACTGAGTTGTACATGTGGAAACTGCTGGATTGGGGTGTGTACAACGTCAACAGCAACAAAAATAAGACATAGAAAAAGAAAGAGAAACAAACAGAAGTCCGGGGCGGGGGCAGGAGAGTTCGAGGTGGACACAGAAGTCATGTTGGAGAGAGATGTGCTCCCGGAAGAGACAAAAGCATTGAGGCAGCCCAGGGAAAAATACAGACATGGGGAGACCCCCCACAACCTGTCCTCTTACTATCTTCTTTTTCTAGGAACAGCCTGCCCCCAACATCACCTGGGACTGAGAGGAGCCCCCCAGCGCCCTTCCCAACCCTGCTACCCTCGTTCCTGGGCACCCCAGATCCAGCCCACCTGGGGCTCCCCGAGAGCCTTGCCTCTGTCACTGTCCCCATCCGGCTGGACGCCCTCTCCTACCTCCTGCACAGCGCCCTGCTGGGGGCCTACAGCCTTCAACAGTCCCTGCCCTCTTGCCCCTGCTCTCCCGAGGCCTGCTGCACCCAGCCTGGGCCAGCCAAGAGGCCATCCTGGAGGCGTGGGGGGTGCCAAGTCCAGCACAGGCCGGGCCAGGGCCGGGGCCAGCGGCAGTGGGGATGTGGAAGAGCCGGGCAGCCCAAGAGGGGCTGGGCGAGGGGCTCTGAGGCCGGCCCTAAGGCCCCACTGATGACGTCACCACCAGCACCACCAGCACCACCACTGCCGTCACCTGCTCAGGACGGGAGAAAGGAAGTCCGAGGTCGGGAAGCAGCCCTGGGCGCGCCTCCTGGTGCTGAGGACTGGGAGTCTGAATACTAAGAGCTGGGGGGTCCCACACTCCCGCCCCCGGGAGGGCCTCTCCTGGCCATCTAGTCCCCTCGGAGATACCCCTGGAAATCGTCTACTCCCACCCCACCCCCAGAATACCTGTAGCCTCAAGAGTGGGTTCTGAGTCACCTGGACCTGACTTAGGATCCCAAGCCAGACAACATCCCTCCCTGAGCCTCGTACCCAAACCCACGCTGTCCTCTTCACGGCCTCAGCCCCCTCCCATCCCCCACTGTAACTGTGGCTCCAACCTCATCCTCAGCCCCAACATCACCCCCAACCTCACCTCCAGCCCCATGCCCACCTACCTCTCCAACCCCCCTCCCATCCCCAGTCCATCTCCAACCCAATTCCTAGGCCCCAACCCACCCTCATTTCCAACTTTGTTACCCTCACCCCCTACCTGAGGCCAACCCCGTCTTCATCTCTCACTGCGTCCTAACCGCCAGCCCCCAACTCAGTCCTGTCCCGAACCCCAGCCACAGCTCACGCTCCGACTTCAACCTCGTTCTCACCCCACCCCCACCTGTGACATTCCCCAGGGCTCCACTCCACAAAGAACCCTGTTGGCGGAGTAGATAGGGTCACCTTCATTTCCCCACCCTGTTTCCCGCCCCTTAAGATAGGGAGCTCTGGTTAAACAATAAATAAATGGATGACTGTCCCCATATCCTGTGTGTGTGTGCATTTATGTGTATGGTGTGCGCACAGCTCAGGCTAACCTCATGGGTGCTATGAGCAAGGCTTGTGAAAGGGCGGTAGGGTGGTGGGAGGGTCACACAGAGAGGCCCGTAGGGCCAGGGGCTGGGTCCCTACTTCAGCGAATTCCATTTGGTATCTTTGCCACCACTGCATTTCTGCCTGCTGGAAGCTTCTATGCTGTGGGACCATTGTCTGGGGCGGCTTAAGGGATTTGGGGGACTCAGTGGGAGACGAGAGGCCGGTGAGGAGAGACCTGGCTCGGCTCAGTCTGCACGGAGGGGCTGCGGCAGGCAGAGGGCTCCGGGCAGGCTCTGCCGCTCAGGTAAGAACCAGGCATGGAACCTGCAGTCCCCTCCTCCTTCAGGACCTGGGAGTGCCCCACCCCCAGCCTCGCCCTTCCCCACGACCCAGGAATCCAGACCCCCAGCCCCATCACCCCCTCCCCCGGGACCTAGGGTACCAGACCCTCAGCCCTGTTTTCCCTCAGGACCCAGGACCCAGACCCCCAGCTCCATCTCCCAGGAATCTGGTGGCCCAGCTTCCAGCCCTGTCCTTCCGCCAGGAGCCAAGAAGCCAGCTGCCAGACCCCAGTCACCTTCTTTCCTAGGACCCAGGATTTGCAATCGTCAGCCCCTTCCTTTCCTAGGGGCACAGGAGCCCAAGCCCCCAGCTCCCACCTCCCCGAGGATGCAGGGATTCAGGACCCCAAGGACCCGGTCTCTCAGCATCCAGCCTTCTCCGGCCCCTTCCTCCACCAGAACCCAGGGGTCCAGCTCCCAATGCCTCTCTCCGCATCCCCGCAGGTCACCATGTACAGCTTCATGGGTGGCGGCCTCTTCTGCGCCTGGGTGGGGACGATCCTCCTGGTGGTGGCCACAGCGACGGACCACTGGATGCAGTACCGGCTGTCGGGGTCCTTCGCCCACCAGGGCTTGTGGCGGTATTGCCTGGGCAGCAAGTGCTACCTGCAGACAGAGAGCATCGGTGAGGCCCCAGGGCGGGGTCTCGGGCATACCTGGGCTCCTAGGTCAGAACCTGCCACTCAGAAGCCCACCCACTCTTCAGGTGGACCAGCCCAAGGTCACTCAGCATGCAGTGAGCAGAACTGGGGTTCCAGTGCTATTTTCTAGTGCAATTATAGGGGGGTTAGGGGTTAAAAGGGAGGCCTGCTGGTGCAGTGGTTAAAACATTTGACTGCTAACTGAAAGGTCAGTGGTTGGAACTCACCAACTGCTCCTGGGGGGAGAGAAGATGAGGCAGTTATCTTCTATAAACATTGACAACCTTGGAGACCCAGTAGTGCATTTCCACTCTGTCCTCTAGGGGCGCTGTGAGTCAGAATCAACTACATGGCAGTGGGTGTGGTTTGGGCTCTGCTTCTGTGAAGATTGACAACCTTGGAGACCCTGTGGGCAGTTCCACTCTGTTCTCTAGGGGCGCTGTGAGTCAGAATCAACTCCACAGCAATGGGTGTGGTTTGGGCTTTGCTTCCATAAATATTGACAGCCTTGTAGACCCTGTGGGACAGTTCCACTTCGTCCTCTAGGAGCACTGTGAGTTGGAATGGACTTTATAGCAGTGGCTTTAGGGGTTAAATAGAGAGAAGTGGCATTTCTTGGGCACCTACTAGGTGTCAAGGGCTGCCCTGAGTGATGAAAATGGCTAAGCACTGGGCTGCTAACCAAAAGGTTGGGAGTTTGCATCCACCCAGAGGCGCCTCAGAAGATCTACTTCCAGAAGGTCACGGCCTTGAAAACCCTGTGGAGCCCGGCTCTACCCTGACATATGTGGGGTTGTGATGAGTCAGACTCCAGGGCAGCTGCTTTGTCTTTTCTTTTTTTAGTAGGTGTCAGGCAGAGCAGCTGGGGGCTGAGGTTGTAAGAATAGCAATTTCTACGTATTTCCTATGTGTCAGAACTGTGTTAGCTACCAAGGTGTGTGGCGGGGTGGGTATGTGTTTGCGTGTGAAGAAAGAATAACCAAAAACCAAAACCAATTGCAGTGGAGTCCATTCTGACCCACAGCGCCCCTAGAGGCCAGAGTGGAACTGCACCACAGGGTCTCCAAGGCTGTCAATCTTTATAAGGCTGTAATCTTCCTCGGAAGGATGATTGTGCAATCTGCTTCTTTAGAGATACCACCTCGGAAGCCCAGGGAGGGGTCGCTATGAGTCGAATTGACTCGACAGCAGTGAGTTTGGGTTTCTTTTGGAGTCTTTATGGAAGCCGACTGCCACATCTTTCTCCTGTGGACTGGCTTATGGGCTCTTTCTGTTCACATCCATGCACTCTAACCAAAAAAAAAAAAAAAATCCTATTTTCCCAAACAAGATCACATTCACAGGTACAGAGGTAAGACTTCGACACAGCTTGTTGGTCTGCTCCCACTCACAGAGACCCCAGGCACCACAGAACAAACACTGCCCCACCCTGCACCATTCTCCCATTTGCTGCTTTGTTTGAGCCCGTTGTTGCAGCCACTGTGTCAGTCCATCTCATTAAGAGTCTTCCTCTTTTTCCATGACCCTCTACCGAGCACGATGTCCTTCTCCAGGGACCAGTCCCCCCTGATAACATGCCCAAAGTACGAGAGACAATGTCTCACTACCCTCACTTCCAAGGAGCATGCTGGCTAGCTCTTCCAAGAAAGGTTTGTCCTTTCTTCTAGCAGTCTACGGTCTATTCAATAGTCAACATGTCTTTAGGATACAATTAAATGCATAACACTGCCCATGACAACTGTCCCACCTGACCATGGTTAGCTGGATGTGAGCAGTGATTGTCCCCTTCAAATAGGGTGTATCAGCCATTAAGGAGACATCTGCACAGGGAAGGTGTTCTCTAAAGATGGGGCCGGGAGGCAGTCATGCGGTGACGCTGGCACGTGAGACCCACACATGCAGGTTCCTGCCGCCCCCGCCTCAGCCTGCTGCCTCCCCCCAGCCAGAGCTCCTCCCTGTATCTGCAACTGCCTGTATCTGCAACCTCCTGGGCCTTTGGGGATTCCATTCTTGCATCAGCACAACTGTAGGAACAAACAGGCTATTGCGTACAGCCAGTAGGTTCTCCAGACTTCCAACCGCCCAGACATCCATGGAGAAATAGCCAGGAAATTTCACACCCGAAGGCTCACCCAAGTCAAAAGACCACATTTTGCAAAGATGCAAGACTTTGACTTTTTCCAGGGCAAGGTCCAAGTTCTGTGCAAGGTGTATAGTCATCCTGGGTGCTCCAAGAAACAGGACAGCTAAGTGGTTAAGAGCGTGGGCTTTGGAGCTCGGGCTTCAAACCCCATTCTCTCCCAGTCCTATTGCTTACTATGGGACCTTGGGCATGTCACTTCATCTTTTTGAGCCTCAGTTTTCTCATGTGGAAAATGAGCATAAAAATAGTACTTACACAGTAGGGCTCTTGGAAGGAATGAATAGCAACTATGTGCATGGCACATAGTTGGTAGCTGCTAAAAGGAAGATGAGAAACCCAAGACCAAACCCATTACTGTTGAGTCCATTCTGACCCACAGCGCCCCTAGAGGACAGAGTGGAACTGCACCGCAGGGTTTCCAAGCCTGTTAAATCTTCACAGAAGCAAAGCCCAAACCACACCCACTGCCGTGGAGTCGATTCTGACTCACAGCGCCCCTAGAGGACAGAGTGGAACTGCACCGCAGGGTTTCCAAGCCTGTTAAATCTTCACAGAAGCAAAGCCCAAACCACACCCACTGCCGTGGAGTCGATTCTGACTCACAGTGCCCCTAGAGGACAGAGTGGAACTGCACCACAGGGTCTCCAAGGCTGTCAATCTTTAACAGGCTGCCTCATCTTTCTCCCACAGAGCGGCTGGTGGGTTTGAACAATCACCTTTTGGATTGCAGCTGAGGGCTTTAACCCTGCACCACCAGGCCTTCCTAATGGAAGAGGAGCTGATGATGCTGCTGTTCCCAGGGCACCTCCCAAGGGGCCAGCACTGAACTCCACACAGAGAAGAAAGGTCCCTTGAGCTCAATCCTCAATTGAACTAGCGCATTGTACCAATAGCGCTAGTTCACCGAGCACCTGTTAGGTATCTGAGGAGCAGCTCTGGTGGAGCAGGGGGTAAGGCATTGGTTTGCTAACCAGAAGGCTGGCAGTTCAAACCCACTTGCTGCTTCATGGGAGGAAGATGAGGCAATCTACTTCCCTGAAGACTGACAGCCTTGGAGAACCCAATGGGGGTTGCTATGAGTTGGAACGGACGTGATGGCAGTGGGTTTGGTTTGGGTTGTGAACCAGATAATAGGTGCTGCGGGTACATCAGTGAAGGGGACCGACTAATAGTGGGATACAACAGACAGAAACAAGTTAAAACTAAATAACTAGGACGTTTTCAGATCTGGGCAAGTGGTAGGAAAGACATGAAAACGGGCAATGTGGGAGATCAGTGTTTGGCAGGAGGATGTGGACAATCTCCATCCATCCATCCATCCATTCATTCATCCATTCATCTATCCATTCATCCATTCAACCACAAACATCTCCTGAGGTCTGTGTGTAAACCACACATGTGCTGGGAGTATTAGAGATGTCTTCAGGTTGAAAGGTTTTTGTCAGGCCCAATTGAGTCGAATTTTGACTCATAGCAATTCACGTGAGAGAGTAGAACTACCTCATAGGGTCTCCTAGGCCGCCATCTTTTTCTGGAGCAGATTCCTAGATCTTTCTCCCACGGAGCTCCTGGGTGGGTTTGAACTGCCAACCTTTCAGTTGCAGGGAGAGATAGACAAAGAGAGTGACTCTCCAGAGGAGGTGAGGAGTGAAGGCATGCTTCCTAGAGGAGGGACTTAGGAGTGGGCTTTGGAGGATGAGTAGGAGTTTTCCAGGTGAGGTGAGGGAGGAGCCGGGTCAGGGCTGTACAGGGGGGACAGGTGTTCTCACCCCAGAAGTAGCAGCGTTCGCCCCTGAGGACAGGGGAGACGCGGGGTGGTCCTGTGTGTTCCCGCAGCGTACTGGAACGCCACCCGGGCCTTCATGATCCTGTCCGTCCTGTGCGCCACCTCCGGCATCATCTTGGGCATTCTGGCCTTCGCTCAGCAGCCCGCCTTCACCCGCCTGTCCCGGCCCTTCTCCGCGGGCATCATGTTTTTCACCTCCAGTGAGTGGGTCCACCCTAACCCTAACCTTTTCCCTGTCCCCACTCCCAACTCCCTGCCCATCTCTAACCCACAATAAATCACCTCCCCCAACCCACTTGCACCTCCCATTCCTCTTCACTCCCACTTTCCACTCCACCGCCGCCCTAATTCCAGCCCCACACCAACTACAACGTCCCGTTGATGACCAACTCCAACCCTACAACATCCCTCGCCAACTCCATTGCCCACTCCCTGTTACTCCTGATGTCAACTCCACCCCCATCCTCACCTCTAACCATATCCCCATGTATTCAGTGTGTTGTTGTTGTTGTTATGTTCCGTCGAGTCAAACCCGACTCATAGTGACCCCTCCTTGGGTTTCTGAGACAGTATCACTACGGAAGTAGATTGCCCAACCTTCTTTCCGAGAGGAGTGGCTGGTGGGTTTGAACCGCCAGCCGCCTGGTTAGCAGGCAAGTGTCTTAGCCACTATGCTACCAGAGCTCCCATCCAGTGTGTTACTTCACACTTTTTCTCAATCCCATTCCACCATCTCCAATTCCCTCCACTCCACCTCCAACTCCAGCCCTATCCCCATCCTCACCCTCTCTCATCCCTACTCATTCTCACTCCCACCTCCACCCCACTCCAGTCCCAATCCGCCGCCAACACCATGCCTATATCTAACTCCAGCCGAACCCATCCCCACCTCAACCCTGTTCCCTACTCATCAGTTACTCCCACTTTCAGCTCCAACCCCATCCTCAGCTCTAATCTTGCCCTGACCCCTTTACCCAATCTCATCCCATCCTTTTTCCCATCTCCAACCCTCTACCTACCTCCAACCCCACCATCCTTACTCCCGTCTCTCTCTCCCCAGCCCTTTTCATTCTGTTGGCCTTGGCCATTTACACTGGAGTCACCGTCACCTTCCTCGGCCGCCGCTTCGGAGACTGGCGCTTTTCCTGGTCCTACATCCTGGGCTGGGTGGCCCTGCTCATGACCTTCTTCGCAGGTACTGAGGCAGGAGGGAAACGAAAGGTCACTGTCTGGGGCAGACAGGGCAGGACTTCGGGGGATGAAATGATAGGGTCTCCCACACAGGTCCCACAGCACTGAGTCCAAAGGCAGATTCCAGGACAGAGGAGCCCGTGAGGGCCTTTGGGCGCCAAGGGAGAGAAGGGGTGGTGGCAGGGACCTCTTGGGGTGGGAGCAGGGGTCAAGGAATCAACTGGGATCTCTTCTCACACAGGGACTTTCTACATGTGTGCGTACCGAATGCACGAATGCCAACGCATGTCCACTCCCCGCTGAGCCCAAATATACCCCCAACTTCACCTGCAAGTTAAGAGGTCACTGACAAGGAGAGGGAGGGTCTAGGGTCCTGGATTCCTGGTTCCCGGGGGGATGATGGAGCTCGGTCCTGTTCTCAGGGTGGAGGGACCCTGACTCCTGGGTCCTACAGTGGGAGGAAGAAGAATGTGGCCTTGTAGGGCAGAGTGGAGACAATCCAAGACTCACCCACCAAGGGGATGTTAGTGAAATGGAATGTGCAGTAGAACGATTTTTGGGGAATCTAATAAAAATGATATGAAACTACTAACGTGTGAATCTCTGAGGGGCTGGGAGAGGAGAAATACGTGTGAGTGTGGTGGGCAGTGTATTAGACTGGGTTCCCTAGAGAAACAGAAACCAGCAAAGCTTATATATAGCTATAGATATAGATATAGATATAGATATAGATATAGATAGACAGACAGAAAGAGAGAGAGAGAGAAATTTATTTTAGGAAAATGGCTCACACAAGTATAGAAGCCGGCAAGGCCAAAGTCCCTGGATCAAATGTCAAGCTGGAGGCTTTTCCCGGCTCCTGCAACTGCAGGGGCCAAGAAGCTCAAAGCTGGCAGGCAGTACACCAGCTGTTGACTCCAACGAATGATGAATCCAAGATCTCCAGGCCGAACGGTGGACTGCTCACTCACGGACAGATGTAGGCAGCACAACAGAATCCCGATCCACAGAAGAGTGTCTCTCTTCCCAGGATGTCCCTGGATATCCTGGAAGCAGGCCACATCCCTAGAGAAACTCCCCTTGAGCAGATTGGCCACTCAGAACACAGTCATCCAATCCCATCATGGGAACACCCACACAGAACTGGGGCCCAGCCAAGTTGACACACAGCTCCAACTATCACAGGCAGGTTGGGGAGAGATGCTGTATTTTAGCAGCTGGACCTTCTCAGTTCCTGTAGGGACGGGGGGCAGAGATAAGTCACACAGTCCCTGCCCAGGGGTAGCTTAGACTCTGGTTGCCAGATTCGGAGCAGCTGATGTGCAGGGTAATAAAATACCAAAGCACACCTGCTATTGAATCGATTCTGACTCGTGGGGACTCCACATGTTTCAGAGCGGAACTATGGCTTCCACTGGAGATGAAATAGTAGAAAGAGGGCTTTCTCTGGCTGGTTTTTTGAAAGGAGATCATAGGTCTTTCTTCCAAGGGGCTCTGGGTGGATTTCGACGGCCAATGTTTCACTGGAGGGAAACACTTAACACTTGAATCACCTAGAGACTCCAAAGGGCCTCATCGAGGATAATGTTGTTGTTGTTGTTGTTATGTGCCGTTGAGTCGGCCCTGACTCATAGAGACCCCTCCTTGGGTTTCCAAGGCAGTATCACTACGGAAGTAGATTGCCCAACCTTCCTTCCGGGGAGTGGCTGGTGGGTTTGAACCGTCAGCTTTCTGGTTAGCAGTCAAGTGTCTTAGCCACTATGCTACCAGAGCTCCCATCATCGAGGATAATAGGGTAAATTAAAAGATCTGTGGAAATATAACCTCCCTGCCCACCCACCAAGGAGCTCTGGTGGCGCGGTGGCTAAAACGTGCAGCTGCTGACCAAAAGGCCGGTGCTTTGAAACCACCAGCTGCTCTGTGGAAGCAAGATTGAGGTACTCGGCTTCCATAAAGATTGAGGCCCTTGGAAACCCTTTAGGGCTGTTCTCCTCTGTCCTCCAGGGGCGCTGTGAGTTGGAATCAACTCAGTGGCAACAGGTTTGGTTTCAGTTAATCATAACATAAGACCATTTAGCTAGGTCAGTTTTAATATTTACTGTTGTTGTTCTTATGTGCGGTCGAGTCGGACTCAACTCATAGAGACCCCTCCTTGGGTTTCCGAGGCGGTATCACTACGGAAGTAGATTGTCCAACTTTCCTTCCGAGGAGTGGCTGGTGGGTTTGAACTGCCAGTTAGCAGTCAAGTGCCTTAGGTGCTACGCTACCAGAGCTCCCAGAATATTTACTAGAACCTACAAATCCAAAGAAGAGCTCATGCTTTTGAGTTGTGGTGTTGGCGAAGAATGCTGGAAGTCCCATGGACTGCCAGAAGAACTCACAGGTCTGTCCTGGAGGAAGTGCAGCCGGAATGCTCCTTGGAAGTGAGAATGGCCAGACTTCATCTCACCTACTTTGGTCATGTGGTCAGAAGAGACCATTTGCTGGAGAAGGATGTCATGCTTGGTAAAGTGGAGGGCCAACGAAGAGGGGGAAGGCCCTCATCTTGATGCATTGACACAGTGGCTGTCGTAATGGGCTCAGGTGCAGCAAGGATTGTAAGGCCGACCGGGGCTGGGCGGGGTTTCGCTCTGTTGCACACGGGGTCACTGTGAGTGGGAGCTGACTGGACGGCACCTGACAACAACAGCACACTAATCAACGTTACAGCCGTGGAGGCTCACTCTCCAGAAATAATATTTATTGGCGT